AATGTTTTTTTTTTTTTTTTAAATCCTCAAACAAAATATTTAAAAAAAATGTTGAAGAAATGTAGTGCCTTTTCAGAAATAATATAAGGGGGGGAAAATGAAAATAAAAATTGTACTGTATTTTATTCTTTGTATTTGTGGTACAGTTGAGAGCAGTTGTTTCTCAAACTGTGGTGCTGGTGCTCTCCCTGGTGGAACTCGTACGAATAAACTTTTTTTTTTTTTGCGGAATTTATTTATATGAAGTGAAGAGGGAAACAGGGAAGTCAGTCTGTGTTTTCAGAACTCAAATTATGTGTCAGTTGTGATACTTCGTTTTACAGGTTGACTTTGGCTGACAAAAAGCTAAATAACCCTTAAAGGAATACATCGTTTTCTGCTGAACAGATTAGGTCTCTTCTGTTGTGTTTTTATGATGGTCATCGTTGCTGAACAGATTAGGGCTCTTCTGTTGTGTTTTTATGATGGTCACACTGATGGCGTTGTAGAAACAAAAATATTTTCGGAGTTTGATATGCTGTGTAAAAAATAAAATGAAAAGTGCAGGGAAAGCATGCGAAGAGATGCTCAAACTTATGTCATACACAAAGTGCCCATCAGGTGTCAGTGTTGCTCATCGGAAAAAAGATTTGAACTAGCAGTGACTTTTTTACCTATATATGAGTCTGATGTGCTACATCAGCTAACTTTAGGTCACTAATTACATTGTAGTTTTTTCATTGGGATTTCATAGACTGAATTGAAGTATTCTCAACATTTATGATTTCAAACACAATTAGCCACCAATTTGTCAGTGTAGTGTTGGTTTTACATTTAATCCACACATTTAAGACCTTACTAAGACTAAAAACATTAGTGGTGAGTGAAAATGAAAAATACTGCCTTTTATAAGTGTAGAGAAAACACAAGGAGAGTCTGACTAGTGGGGTCACACAAGACAAACATGTGTTACAATAGCAGAAAAGGCAAACATCTAATCATCTGCGAAATGTATGTCACATCTCACATTCATGTCAGTCTTCTGAAACAGGTCACAGATGCAAACTGATGAATCAACCTCCTTAGGGATCTATCATTATAATCTGCCCTCCATTTTTAGCCAACTCTTGCTGAGGAGCAGAAAGATGTTGGCAGTGAACACACAGCAGTGCGGTGTTGAATTTTATATTTACTATTGCGAGGAAAAGGAAGAAGACCACAGTTTTTACATATTATATGTACACCATAAAAAGCTGCAGAATTAAACCAGAAGAATGACTTGTAAGTTGATTGTTTGGGATGTTTTTACACCATAAAAACAAATACATTTAAACATTAAATTCATATTTAGTACAAAAAGTTAAGCAAGAGATTAATAACAAACCTATTAGTGGAACTGGCAACAGAGACAATTTTCTCACTTAGTCTTAATTTTTCAAAACTAATCTTTATGTTTGTATTATGGTAAGCCTGAATACAGTTTCTGTTGTTTTTTTAGGCAAAACTTGATCTAATATTTCTATCAGTCCACATTCAAACCTGTCTCCTGTTTGTTTTTTTGTTTTTTCTACTGTGGTACTCTTCATTTCCCTTTGCTAAATACTTTGTTGCGAGTTCCTGTTTTAGTGCTGGTCTCTGAACTGGTCTGTTCCATACTTTCATGTGGTACTGTAAGTCCTCCTCAACAGTATGATCTTTATTCTCAGATGTCTTCAGTACACATTTTATTACAAGGCCATTCCTCCTTCTCTTTCTTCTGCAAAAACACAGCAGAAATATAGATAACTGTCTGTTTTTTCATGTTAATTAATGTGTTTTAAAGAGATCAATGAACAAAAACGTTTGTTAGCCAGAGAGCTTTGGTAATTAGATTAAATTATCCACACTGGGGGAAATAATTACTAATAGCAGGGTGTACAAAAATACACTCTAAATATACCCTGTGTCAAACTTTATATTGCAATTAACTTTTGTAAAATGTGAAAATAGTAAAGCCTCGCTTAACTTTCTAAACTTTTTCAAATTTGGCTGGGCTAGTCATTACCACCCTTTCCACCTATTAGCTTTTAGAGAAGCTCTTAACCGTTGCAAAACTATAGTACACAACGGGGTAAACAAGATGTAAACAAATCTACATACTGTTGTTAATTTAAATTAATTGGAGTAAGAGCAAAACTATGGTTTATTTTTTGTGTGAATTTTATTCATAAACTAAGCTCCCCATTCGTTGTCTGTTCTGAAAAATAAACGCCTCCTTTTTTGGGGTGTGATAAACTCTGGTCACGGGGTGAGGAGTGAAACAGTGAGGAAAGGAGGAGGAGGTGAAGCTGCAGGACTCACCACCACCACCACCGCCGCCACCACCACCACGCCTCTCCACGGCAACTCAGTCAGCCATATTGGCTGTCTGTGCCTTCTTGTCTCCGGCAGCAGTAGCAGCAGCATTAGCGGTGGTAGCAGTAGGAGTCTGGCGGGCGTTGGAGCAAGTCTCCACCGGTGAAGCCCGTACGCAGCTCCCGCAGTTTGTTTGTTTGTTTTTTACGTCGCCTGCGCAGAGGAAAACGCCAAAAAAAAACCGCGAACTATTTTTATTCGCCCTGTTGGATTTATTTATATATTCAAACTCTGGGTGCCAGCAGCAGGAGAGGGGGAACAGACACATCTTCAGTAAGTGGTGAGTTGTAACTCGTTCACTTCTGAATTTCCTTGCTTTAAGCCTATAAATGCACGTTTGTGTGACCAAAGAGCCAGTTGCGCTATAAAAAAAAAATAACGGTGCGGTTGCGTTTTCAACGTTTGCACATTTCACAAGCGCAGTGGCGCGTAAAACTTAAAAAGACCCACGTTACGGGCGGGGGTGTTATCTCTGAAACAGACGACATGTGGCTTCATAGGACTGATAATTGTTAAACGAGGGGACCGTTGGGATAGATATCACTCTGCCCTGAAGTGTTTCACTTACGTGGTTCATTCAAAATGTTACGCAACCGCGCAGAGGACGAGTTGTAGACTAGTAAATTAGATGCCCGTCGTTTTCAGAAAACTCTTTGTAAAGATAAACGTTTATATCAAGACTTTTCATTTAGTAGGGTTTTTCTGGTGCTTTAAGTGAACCTTCAAAGGGGCTGTAGGAACGCACTTCCACCACAAGAACTAGTAACAGTGGGGGGAACTGTTGCTTAGTTAAATGTATCTCGTGAGTGGATTCGTAAATGCCGTTACATGTGTCTAAATCTGCGCTGGTGGCCAATCATTAAAATATGCATTACACTCAATATTTATGCATTTAACATGTTAGCTTCCTTATTATGTGTTATAAACAAGTGCCAATCACGTATTTCTTATTAAGGTGTATAATTAGCGTTGTCATAAGAAAACATTGTACAGTAAAATACTTTGACAGCACCAATTTCCTTCATCCACAAGTAATTTTGATTTATGGTCCTCAGAGTGTAAACCGTAACACTGATATAGACCCTTTCTAGGAGGTCCTTCAGACCAGTTCCTGGCACAAAATTGGGCTTCTTGGTGGCATCTATTCCTTTTTTTTCCTACAAGAGATCTATAGAGTAAATTAAACTTGGTATTGAGTAGGGTTCTGGGACTATGCATTTAAAAACATGCATATATGTAAATACAACTTGTTTATTTGAGTTTGAGTAATTCCTAAAGAAAGAAATTCAATGTAAATTCATCAATTTGATAAGTCTGGGTTTGGAGCAGGAACACTTATCTCCATTATCAGTTCAATTTTAGTCACATTTATACTCTTTTTAATGTGTCACAGGGACCAATAACTTTACAATGGCGTGTAATACCAGTGAGTGAATACCAATGAACACTATGTAAATATGCTGAAGTTAATGCTATGCAAATATCCCTCCTGAAACTAGTGATATGTTGCTGTCTCTCCATCTGGTATAAACATATGCTCTGTCTAAAGTTTGGAACCTGTGATTGGCCTCATTCCAACAGGAGAGGGCGATTTATTGGTCATTATTGCCGTCACTCCAAACGCTCTGACTGCTCCTAACCCCGCCTCCTCCGGGGACCAAATTACAACTCATTTGAGAAAGAGGCTCAGCATCAGGACATGAGATCCCTCTGACGGATGGTTTTAGATTTCTCTGAGCTGCTTGTTTTTAATGCGGCCTGACCTGTTGAATAATCGTATACCTCTCGATAACATGACATTGATGGTCTTATGTTCTTTCAACACGTTTATGTGAAGTTACTGTTCCTTCTTTCCGGCAGTAACCCATGGTACTTTTGCTACGATGGACTTTGTGGCTTCAGCTGCTGTTGTTCTATAGCACGGCACAAAGACACACTGAATAAAGTAGCTAAAATAACATTAGAATAGAATGAAGTGAAGATGTTTTTTTATATGCCACAGCCATCCCACATTCCCTCTTGAAGATGTAAAATACTAAAGTTTAGACTCCTGAACCAAACCAAAATGTTTAATTTATCAACTCAAAATCTCTATGTTTAGATTCAAATAATAATTTTTTTTTAATAGAAGTCGTTCCGGCTTCGTTCTTATCAAGGAGTAACTTTTTAAATTGGTTTAAGCTTTTGTATTTTGTCAACATTTTAACATCCCAAAAAAACTTCTAGAAATACCCCTAACAGTTATATGGTATAGTGTAAAAGTGAATTCATGCATAAATTATAAGTGTATTAGGTCAAGGTGAAGCCAACAACTTTCAGTTTGAATTTGTAATTACTAGGTGAGTCACTCTTTGTGAGTAACCTCCTGTGAGAGGAGGGAACATTGACATCCAGTAATTGTCTTTATATTTAAAGAGTTTATTAAAAGATTAATATAAACCAGTGATGGCATTGAATAGCTTGGGACTGTTTTGTTCCAGCTGTGGTTTAGAATAATGTAAAATACTGTAAGCCAGTTGTACAATAGTCACACAATTACGCAAGAAAATAATCCAAATATCTGCACCTCCAAGTAAAAAATTACGCAAGAAAACAATCCAAATATCTGCACCTCCAAGTAAAATATTTTCAAAATGGAATTTTTGGGAAATTTGACATAAAACAAGAACTGGAATGACAGGTGTATTTTGGTATGTGTTTTGACCAACTCCAAGCTAAAATAATAAATAGTGTAGTCAATAGTTTGTTTATTCTTGTCAGATTATTTTCAGAATCATCATATTTGTTTTCATTATTTATTTTTTTGCTCTTTATGCAGTTATGGCCAACAATAATAGCACAAGTAACTTTCTGGCCTGCCCTCTGTTAGGGGTTGCAAACAGAGTAATTCAATAGGCACAGTTTCTACACTAAATTCCATTCTTGACCCAACTCTTCTCATTTGTTTGACTTTGTTTGAATTTGTTTGACAAAATGATGAACAACTTTGAGGTTGAGTGTCTTACCCAGAGACCACGGAGACAGGTATGTAGCTGGGTGGAAGAAGAACCCTTTACTCAGTACCGTTAACTCCTATATCTGCTGTCTATCAAAAATGTTTGAAGAGTTTAGATTGTAAAAGAGTTTGTAAAATTGTTTCAAGGACAAACCAACATGGATATTTTTGAATTATTTACTCAAACCTGGGGTCTTAATTTAAGATGGAAATGAAGGAATTGTACAGTTGATTTTCAACTGTATTCCTTATCAGTCAGTGTGTGAAGCCTCAGCATGCAGGAATCCTAGCAGTCACACAGTCTGTTTATTTTTGTGGTTTTAAGGGTCACACCCGGTACACACCATTTGTGCTGCTTGGCATATCACTCCCCACTGCTGTTGTACAATTAAAGCCTTGTTATTGAGTGAGACTGTTGGGTACAGTTTCCTGTTGTTGTAACAGCTGTTGGAATGTCTGTGTGTGTGTTTGTGTGCATTCTCAGCAAACCTAGGAATTAACATGAGATGTTCCTCTTTTGAAGTAACCTCAATGCCTTAATTATTGCCCGTGTTATTCTTCAAATTATACTTTCAGGTTTTGAAGTGTGCTAATGTGAGGTACTAACATCTAGTCCGCGCTTGACATTCCTGTTGCTCCTATAATCTGGCAAAGATCTTTAGCAAACTCTAGGGGATACAGTGCTTATACAGTGTGTGTTACCCTCTGTATCTAAAAAGATCAATACAAATACGTGACAAGTCACGTCAGTTGGAATAAAAAACAAACACACTCAGGTACTGTCAGTGGCAGAATGCACCACCTACTGTATGCACATTGGTGTGACCCCGTTAAACCAAGGCATCAGGTCTCTAATGTATCTTTTACCTTCCTAATCCTGAGTCTTTCCTGAGCCTGTTCTTTTTTTTTTAAACAGATGCTTCAGAAAGTAATTGTTTTTGTAATTTTTTTTACCTGAAATAGTGCTGTACGAATAATCAAATCACAATTGGGATGTCACGATATAGATTTGGTGCATCTTTCTGATGTCCACAAGTTAATTAATATTAACCAGAATTGAGGAATAACATGCACACAAGATCCATTGTTTTGTCAAGTTCATTACTCAACTCCCCAAAGAACAAAATGCGTTGTTTGCTGGCAAAAGGCTGGATCACAACTCTCTAAGGAATGAGCCCTGCTGAAGCATGCAGACATTTTTTGGACATTTTAACCTCATACCATTAAGTATAAAACTGATCTAATCAGTTTCAGCCTTTAACTGGAGAGCCAACATAGCACGGATGATATCACATCTGTAGCTGGTGGATATACACTACATATGTAACATGTATTTTGCCAGTGTGCTAAATTAAATTTTTTTACCTGTGGCTGCACTTCCATTTATATTCAGCCACAACTGATGAGGCCTATACTTGCTGCTATCCATAACATTGCAATACAAAGTTGCTAATATTACATCTACTGTTGGCTTTGTTTGGAGGAGAAATCAATATTAATATTTTTTGCATGATTTATTTATTCTAATTATTAGTAGCATCTTGCACACGGTCACCATGGTAACAGAAGTCCAGACTATGTTTGAACAAGTTCACCTAAAAAGAAGAGAAAGTCTACACCTTTGATCTTTTGTATATGTAAATATACATTTACATGTATGTGTATATGTGTGTATCGTTTATATCTGTATCGCATGTGTCTGTGTGTGCGCGTGGGGTTTTCCTTCCTCACACGTATTCACGTGTACTGTTAACCTATTATTTTGACTCGACTCCTTATCTCTTGTCTCGACCAACCTGACTCAGTGTGTATGCGACTCTGATAAAGGTCCAGTCAGTCTTCTGCCAACCTAACCTCATTCTAACCTTCTCTGGTCTCTGAGGAATCTTCAGTCGTAGCCAAAGTAGCTCAGCTGCAGCTGTTAACATGAGCATGTGGTGTTTCTTTGGCTTCATTTCAGGAGCATTTCAACTCCAGGGTAGAGAGCAGGCGTTTGATTGTATTCTTTTCAGTGAAGGTCTAGGGACCCCAACTACAGCATGTGATTAAATGGACCATACACCTAAATCTTAGAGGTCTACTCTCTCCCTAACAGTTAACTTTGGTATGAAAGGGTGCTTTAAATGTGTAAAAGTAGCTTGCTTTCTTTTCTTGAGCAACATGTTTTTGCATATTGTTTTAACCTCTTTTTTTTTCTTTTTTGTTGTTGTTGTTTCTCAGCTCCTGTTTGGTGTCCTGGACGTGAGGAGACGGAAAACCACACATCTCCAGTTTTTCAGTAATAAGGGACGGGCATAGAGAGGAGGAAGATGCCCAAACCGGTCAGTAGCAAACACTGTGGTTGATTTACACAACTATTTCTGTCTACATTACATGTTCTACATTCCTTAGAACCCACATGGTATTTTTTTCTGACCGTCCTCACACTGGTGTCAGTAGAGCTTAAGCTGATTATTGTTGGGCATCAACATTAAAATCTGTTTTTATTTGTCTGTCTTGGAGAGGTTGCTGCTGTTCCCGGCTTCAGTCCCTGCTGCATATGCAGCTCCTGGGAGTTTCGCAGCACAGCTGAGTTGGTGTGTTTAATAGACTGCAGCATCTGCCTGCACTGTTGTTCAGGCTGTGTGCTGTGCTGTGCTCCAGGCAGTGAATGTCTTTTTATCCTTCTTACTTAATTTACCAAACCATCTAAAGTTCCCATAAAGCCCACTTTGTTAAAGATATCCATTTTTTTTACGCAGAATCACAGGAAGTCTCTTTTTTAAGATGTTTTCTTGTTGCATGTGTGGGCGAAGAGCAGCATTTGAGTTGAAGTCAACGTGCAGTTACAGCACTTTCCACTAAATAACACATGTTCAAACAGATATTCAAAGACTGCGTGGTTTGGAAACTAAGGTCTAAATTTTGGTTGAAATACTGTTTACAATCTGACTTTTGGTGCTGTGTTGGTTAATCATTTCTGGAATAAATGAAGAGCGATGTTTTTAGTTAATATGCAGTTTTGATTTGCCGTGTCGTACAATTTAAAAATAGTTACCATGTTACCAAAATCTTGACTTAGAAACTTGACTTAATTAATGAATTTATATGTTCTCAAACCCTTTCTTGAGGGAGATGAAATTTGAAACTTGAGACGATGAAAGTGACATGCTGCTTGTGTATTATCATCCATGAAAAAGATGCCCGTTTGCCAGCTTTGTTTTAAATTATGTCTCAGCTTCTACATTGTCTAAGAACTTCATTTAAAAATAACGGAACAGGAAGAAACATTTCTATGTAGAGAAAAAAAAATCTACATTCAAATAATTTGTTTGCATCACTTTTTTGATGCTGGAGCCAATCCCAGCTGTCAGTTGGTGGGGGTAGGGTACACCATGGACAGTTGTCCAGTCCATTGCGAGGGCCTCTTACAGTTAACTCCTTTATTACAGCGTTGATAGAACATCCTGACTATTGCAATATTTTTTTTATAATATTATTGTAATAATAACTGATACTACTCTTTTTAGTTGTTAAAAAATTGCAACTGCTGCACCTTTAATTTAGATCAACGAAATACATGTTGCATCAGCTCCAGTTTTATTGTCTTAGCTTCTGGGTCTATCAGGTGCAGGTGTATAATGCCAGGCGTGTGAAGAGACTTTGGGGGGTGTTGTTGTAGAAATCCAGCTGCATTTTCACTTGATGGACCAGAATCAGCCAATATTGGATCTGATAATAAGGAGCAGCCCGATTTGATGGCTTCACTCTTCAACAAAACACTTTTCATTGCAGTTTATTATTTCTGCAACTTGCTGTAATCTCCTGACCTCAATTCGTCTTCCATTCACAATTGAGTACAGAAAGAAGTTGAAGAAGTACAACCGTCTCCGTCCTGTCACTGGTCTCTAGTTGTCTGTCACGGGCTTGTACATAGGTTTTGGGAAATGCACTCTCTGACACTACCAGATCGGTCGGTCACTTTCTGGAACTGTCCTGTCTATTGAAGCAGGCGAACACAATGGGTTCTTTCTTTTGTCTATTTTTGGACTGAAGGACACTGGGAGCTTTCATGTTGCTCTGACACAAACGTACAGACTGAGTTTGTTCTTCTGCAGCTTCAAAAACAAGAATATTCTGGGTTGATTTTTTTTTTTTTTTTTAATTTGTTTTATTGTTGCGCCTCATACTGGTCATGGTTTTTTTTAAGTCAGTTGTAAAAGGACATTTTAATTTGACCTTTGTTTAAAATATTGAATTCTTCCTTCATCTTTATGTTTTATCCTTAGCTACATTTTGTAGGTGTTTGTGATAAAAGAAATCCAATAAAATTATGACCAGATTATAAGCTATAAAGTGCAGTCAGATAGTGATTTGGCTTTTCAGTGAGAAGCAGGACGTGTCTGCCGGGAGTTTAACGTTTGGCTCTTATTTACAGTAAGCCAGAAACTAAATTGAGCTGCTGCCTCATCATTTGCAATATGAGAGAGTAAAGCCAAGTTCAGTTCCTGGAAAGAGACATGGGTTAGTGCTGGAAAAAGAGGCAGTGAGAGCACGTAAACATGGAAGCTAGAGATGGAAAGAAGAAGCTAAGAGAGCTATTAAACATCTGTGTGGAAAGTTTCCAATCATATTCAGAGCACAGTGTAAGGAAGTACTGCATCATATACTGTATTCTCGGGTGGAATTTATCAGTAGGCCAGAAAATTGCGCTGATTGCCTTCCACAACTTATTTCGGCCTTTCATGAATTACGAATTGCGATCCTTTGCTCTCTTTCTTTATATGTTATAGTTCCACACTGACAACAAACTTGCTTGAAAGTACTGCAGGTACTGCAGTACTGCAGGTGGTTGGGCCTGGCAGTCAGCCCTCTCTCACGGCAGAGCAGAAGGGGACAGTGGCTGACTCTTTGCAGAGGTAGATAAGATTGGTTCATTCCAACTCAGCTACCTTCACAAAGGTCATAATTTACATTTAAGTGTAAAATAATAACTTGCATGACAACAAAAGTCACTCTGTATTTTGGGCTTCATACAAAGTATTGAACCAGGCCATGGTTGGTTTGTAAAATGAAATTTAAAAGCTGCCCTCTAGGACATGACCCTGACCCTAAACCCACCCCGAGGTCTACTGTGGCCTTTACCAGTTTAATCTTTAATGCTAAACTCCAGTTTCCAATACATTGTCTGTGCCTTAATTTAACTTTAAACTTGTGTACCTTTCAAATAATTTCTTCAGTGTGATGCATCTACTAAAACCTTAGTTTCAATTAACTACACCAGACTTAATTTAACATTAAAATTTAAAAATAAATAAATAAAAGATTGCGTTCAGCACCCTTTAAAAGACCTTTAATGTGAGCTGGACTAGTTAATTGGTCTATAAATTCAAATCTGTTTGCTCAGCTTCAATATCATGCCTGCGTTATACAACAGCAAAATGAGAACTATTCGCATGTGGATTTCCATAGACTATTACTGTGAGTAGAGATGAGATTCTAGAATAAAAGAGAGAAGAATGGAAATTAATTCTCAGATTTTTGAAACACTCTACGGGAATGAAAGGGATAAATGAGGATTTAGGAGACAACCGACTGACGGCCACTTTGTTCTTTCCCTGTCCAGAAAAATGACACCCAGGTCGCCCCTGTGGGGGGAAACTCCCACTCCAGTTACAGGACGCTATACTTTGACATCAGGCCTTGCATCAGAGGCACAATAAACACATCAGGCCTTTCACTGCTTCATCCCGACATCACCCGTCCTTCTTTTCCACAATGACAATGCGCGAATGTCACATTGTATTAAAAGCTAATGCTGAGTCTGCTCTGTAGGTGCTTTTGACGACGATGGAAAAAAGGTTGACGCCATTAAATTGTAGCTGATGACGAACAACACCGTACAAAGTGTAAAGGTGAAAAAAAAAAGACCTAAGGCAAAAAGACATAGGGTAAAACTGAACATAAGGACCGCCTTAGAGCACTAATTCACCAATAAAAAAGCAGGACAAATGATAAAAGTAGCTCAAGTTCAGACTGGACCTGAAGTGAATTTTGTTTGGTCTGGTCTTAGCCTGCCTCCAGGCTATGTTTTAATGGTGTGTTTTTTTTTCTGTGTGCCTGCATACACCCCAAACACAACAGGGGTTTCCCCTGGTATTTAAACTGCTTTCATGTGAGTATTACCAATGGCATGCAAGGCTTTGAAGTGCAAGCTTTTCACTTGCATTTGCCCCTAAAAATGTATTTGGGACAATGTACCAACATATTTCATCTGCAATAGTTCAAAAACTACAAATCCTACAATCCCCTGTCTACACTGTAAAACATTTAGCTAAATGAGTTCCAACCTTTCCAAAGTCCTGGCCGACGGATGTATTCTGCAGTTTTTTTTAAAAAGTCAGCTTGAGTAAAGATGAGAGACAGAGTAGGAGCAGCGTTTAGTCATCAAAAAAGTTGTGGCGTCTGTACTGCTGCAGCAAAATGACAACAATGTTTAACCAACTAAAATTCAAAACGAGTAACGTACAAGGAGTTAAGAAGAAGGATTGAGTGTCTGACTGGCTTTTATTATATATAGTTTGACAAACTGATGAATACAGTTAATATGTAATCACATTGAATAATAGTAATTTTAATTTTTTTGGTGATGCACCGAGTTAGGGCTTAAACCATAATGGCTCGAACATGAAAGAATGACCTCATAACACTGCAAAATCGGGCAACAAAGATTCTCCCCTAAAACAAAACAAAAACACGTGTGCGCACACACACACACACAAATGTCTCAGAGGAATCCCTTTAAAAGTATGTATTGATTTCCATTATGTCTGGGTCAATCATGTGAGTGTGTTCATGTACACGGTATAGATCTGTTTGTTTTACATGTTTCCAGACATGGACTGTGCAGTAAAGGGTTTGTTCACTCAGTTAGTGTTTGTTTGTTTGTGTGTGTGAATAAACAGCTGTATAAACCAGAAAGTAACACGCAGCAGAACGTTGTGCATTATTGATTTATGGCTGCGTTTTGCACATGTTGCCGTTCCTGGCGGTGGTGATATTGTCCCTAGAGGCTAAGGGAGGAGGGAGCTGTGGCGGAGCTTGTGGTGGGGGGGCGTGGCAAATCCACGATAGAGCCCTTAAATATTTCAGTGGGCCATTTTAATTTACATAATGGGAATTGTCCTCGTCACTAAAACTAATTAGAGGAAGGGTGTGAAGTTCACAGCAGCCCATTCCCCACCCACTTATCTTCTCTCTTCACCTGAGCTGAAGTTCAAGTCAGGGCTTTAATGGAATGTATTAAAAACAGCAGTACTGGTTAAGCACTTTGTTTAAAAGTAGCACCTCAAGTACAAAGTACTCGAGTATGTACTTCACAAAATCTGCCATGGACGAAGCCCAATCAGCACTGATTCTGTTGTGTACTGTCTGTTGATCCAATCAGTGTGTGTGTACAATGTTTACATTCTACACTGTTCTAGAGCTGTAAGTCGCAGCAGTACAGCTTTTAGGACTGACCGGCTTTGTGTTTGTGCGATACATACACACCAAGCACCGAAAATTCTGACACGTTTTCTGCATTATTTTATACATTTATGTGTTCCAGAATACGTGCGAGGTTGAGGAAGTTCTCTTGAAAAAGTTGGGGGTATGCATGCTGATGAATGCTTTTTTTGAAATTTTTGAATTCTGTACATTTCTGTCAGCTAGCGTAATTTGTTAACTATAATTATTCCAATAATGACATTAAAGGCGGTTGTGAAATCCCACACAACTAACGTTGTGTCATGTACGCACTTCCTATCATTCGTTTAAGTTGGCGATAGCAATGATTTATTTTTAAGTAGCCAGAACTGTCAGAATAAACAGACAGTAGACGAAGACTGATATTTGTTGAACAGAAAATGTCAAGCCACTACCAGAATTTTTTTTTTTTTTTTTTTTTTTTTTTTTGGAACAATGTTGAACACAATTGGGGTCAGTGGTCATATAATTAACACAGCAGCACAAATTAATCATTAAAAACAGTACCTGGGAAGGCAATAAAAGAAAAAATAGTCAAGTGAAGTTGTCTGAAGAGTTTTAAGGATGTGGTGAAATGGAACCAGAACCGTGGTAGTTGACTTTTGTCTACTTTGTTTACCAGCATCTTCCACCCATCCGTGTTATTTATAAAACACAGTGACAGCTAAATAGTAGACTGTACAGTCAGGAGTCAGCCCACGCACTCAGCCCACCTGTTTACTCCGTTTTGTGTGTGTGTGCGTGTGCATGTGTCTGTGTGTGTGTGTGGGGCTCAGACATCCATAATTAAAAGCTGTTGGTAGCTAAGCTAAGCTGGTTAACAGAGGATTTAAGTAAAAACAGGGCCACACAGATGTCCTCACATTTACCTGTCTGTTTTTCATCGTTCCCTTTAACAGTTCCTGTCTGACTCCCGTCCTGCCTTCACTGCTTTTAGCAAAAAAAAAACAACACTTTTCTGTCTCTTTTAACATAATCATTACACTGTAAACTGGGTCATTTACAAATGAATGTCATCAAACTGATCATTCCTGCAGATGGATTTGCAGCGTTATTCTTTTCCTAGTGTTCTGCTTCCCTTCCTCTGGTTGAAGGGCTTACGGCTGACCTCGGGGAGGGTCAATCCTCTCAGTTCATCTCCCAGTCTAGGATCTAAATCCTGTATCCCATTGCCCGTGGTGCTTTTAGAAAATTACATTAAAGTCAGCCTCAAGGACATTGCTATGGAAACCTTATCAGTCAGAAGACAGGTATGTAACGTGCCCTGATGATAAAGTAGGGGAGGGAATAGGGAGCCCTGTGTCACACCATCACATTGGCTGTGATTTAACGTTGTTGTACAATCAGAGGTTAAGCACACACTACAACCACGTGGCTGTGTTTCCGTATTTGTTACAAAAAAAAAAAATACATTGCTGTGTAAATACATTAAGCACAAACATGTTGAACCTGCATGTTGACAGAGAACCGGATGTGGAGGAAGACAATAGTAGCTTGATTGTGGCTTTGTCGATCTGGGAAAAGCGTATGATCAGCTGAAAAGAGAGGAACTACAGTTTGAGGAACAAAGATGTGATAGAGAGTGGTGCAGCCCAAGTAGGACAGTGATCAAATATGCAGTCCTATTCATGGATGGGTTCAGTGAAGCCCTGGGTTTATATGGGTTTATATGAGCAGCCGTGTTTGGTGTATTGGATTGTACAACATGAACTTGTCACTGATATTGTGCAGTTTAACCTTTTAAATTGTATGTGTACGTTTTTGTGTACAAATGGGAATCGTGTGTAAAAATTGCCAGTCTCTGTGCAGCGGTATCACTCCCGGCCTACCTCTGAGAATTCACATGTGGACGCACACTCGTAGGTCGTAGTGTTTACTTTTAGCTTTTAACTTGGGGCAAAACGCACAGTGTTAGCATATCATTGTCAAGTCCTTGTCAGTCTCTCTCACCCCCCACCCCCTCTCATTTTGTCTCTAACTTTCTCTCTTTCGCTCACACGCTCTCTTTCTCTCTCGCTCTCTCTTTCTCACTGTCGGGGTCATGAGAGGACAGTGTGAGGTGGTTTAGCACAGCACAAACCACCACAAGAAACACCGATGTATTACACCTCCAGTGGGAAGTGATAGGAAGGCACATACTCAGGCGCAGAGAACTGACTTTAGATTTATGCTGCAGTATCTCTGCTGTACCGGAGCTGACTTATTGGTACAGAAACCTGGGTACCTTTTCATTGTTACAGAAATGTCTCTTCAATGTTCCTCTTAATTATGTTGGGTTTAGACTGGAAGGTGGTATCGTATGTTTGCCACAGCTCTGTGTGGTTGTGGATAAGCCACGGTGAGAACACAAAGAACCAGAGTTTACTTTTTACTGATGCTTAATTCAAGTGTTAATGTATTTTTTTGGTGACATTTTATTGTTATGATAATCACCACTATGAGGAGCATGTTGTTTTTGTCATATGTGATAGAGCCTTAAACTCTTAGTTGTATTTACTGTCATTAAACTTTAATATATTTCGTCATGTGTGAACAATGCCTTTTTAACTTGACTCAGTCCAGTAGTCCAAGTCCCATGCTGCTGCTGCAGTGACTCCCAACTCGTCCCTTGCTGTTGTCTCACCCACTGCACTTCACTGCAGCAGAAAGAATAATTTCATTATTTGTCTGCATCATGAAATTTTAAAACTCAGCATCTACATCCCAGTTCAGGGGGTGGCTGCTGAACAAAGAGGAGTCAGAGAATGGAAAAATGGTGTTTAAAGGAAGACACACAAGAGTTTTATAAATGTAGACATATTTTCACAAGATGTTGCATTTCAGGAATTAATGTAGATAAGTAAAAAAAAAATCAATATTTTATAAAACATTGTGTAGCACCCGTTGTGTTTTTTGAGCAGATGTGTACTAATTATCACCTTCTTCCCTCACAGATAAATGTGCGCGTCACTACTATGGACGCTGAGCTGGAGTTCGCCATCCAGCCCAACACAACAGGCAAACAGCTCTTCGACCAGGTACCATTTCTATTTCAGAAGTGTGGTCTGTGACTGTGGAAATAATCAAATGAATTATACCTAGACCAGGGCAGAGCATGCATTGTTCATGCCTTTGTTTTTTTGTTTTTTTTACAAAATTGCACCCTTTTTTGCTCACATTGACTTTATAGTGTCGCACAACTGAGTCTATAAATTACAGGCACGTCGTTGTAAAATCTAACCGAGAGATTAGAAATTGAATCTAAATGTTTCTCCATCTGGAAAGGTTGCTGTTGTTTGTGATTATAAAATGCCCGGTTGTCCAGTTCAGCAAGTACAAGAGTCTTATTGTAAACCAGTGCGTGGTTGACACATGGTCCAAATAATCATTATGCCTCAGACTGTGGCTCTTGGGAATGATGTGGCGTCAAAAGGTGAAAGTGAGCAACTAAACAGGTGTGAATTAGATCAACAGACCACTGTCATTGGACACTGCAAAGTCTCAAATGTCCATCAGGAGCTAAAAATAAATAAATTAGATGCATTACTCGTCCTCCCTACCAGATGATAAAAACACTTCGACAGGGCCTGCAGAGTGTGGAACAGAACTTACTGGAAGTTATAGTGGGTTTGATGTGAAATCTTTGAAATATTTCACGTTTGAATAAAAAGGAGTGATGTAAGGCCATTGTTTCTTTCTCCACTTTTCATATACATGCTGCTTTATACCCTGTTTTTTTCCCTCCTTCTTATTCTGCTTTTACTTTTTCAGTGCCGTCGTATTTTTCTTTTTTATTAAAGACTGCAGTTGTGTACTTCAGCTACGTTTGGTGAATCTTTTATATATAATGAGAATTTTGAATGGGAATTGATCTGCAGTTCTCTCCACAGATTTTCTGTAGGTTGTACATCAAGGCTTTGGAGCCTCTACCCTGTGGGAAATTGTTGCTAACTAGTTTTGAAATCTTACTTATGTTATTTCATTGCTAAACAAAAAAACAAGATCAGTTTTATTATTTGATTGTTTACCTTTTTTTTTTTTTTACCCCTAAACGCTCTGGATGAACTGAAGGATTAAACATAGCTGTCGTCATAATCTCTTTGGTTAAAAGGGGTTTTTACCTTTGGCCTAGTCATTAATTTACCGCATTTGATGCAGTGGTGAAGGTGAGGAATGAAGGTCAGCAGGAGAGAGACGCAGTACATGTGCGATATATCTATATATGTATATAGAAAAGCAGTAAAGGTTAAAGTGAAGACAGCAGTGAGACCTGCTATGATGTTCAGTTTAGAGACAGTGGCTCTGTCTAATGGACAATCGGCTGAGTTGGAGGTGAAAGGAACAAAGATGCTTGGAGCAGTTTGGAGATAAGGTTAGAGAGGAGAGGTGGAGATGGTTGAGAAGAGGAAGACCTCGGAGGACATATGTGGATGTTGTGAAAGAGGACATACAAATAGTTACCATAACATTTTTCTTTTTATAAATTGACACAATTTTGGAACAATATTTGATGAGCTGAATTTAAAAGCCAGTGAGCAATACCCAGCCCACGTGCTGTAGTTCGCCCAGCATTACTGGCTTTATTTTTATATTTGGGTTTTGCCCTATCTGAGTCAGTACTTCAGCATTTCACTTGTAATTCTTGATGTTGTGTGGATAAGTTCGTATCTGTATGCACAGTTTCTCAATAATGTTGGTGGTTCAGATATGTTACGTTTAAAGTCTCTTGCTTTTGTGGGGGGAAAAAAAATGTAATTTTTGTGTTAAGACAGGAGTGCAGCTTTTTTTCCCAGGAAAGATGAGACGATTTCACTGCACCATTGTAGTTTACCTTTATCTCTTTTCCTCACTCCTTAAATCTGCATGCTGAGCTCTCAGCATCCGCATAGCTGCCCCTGCATACCGCATTCTCAGCCTCAGTGGAGGTCTTCACTGTGTCTGTGTCTGTGTCTGTGTGTGTGTGTGTGTGTGTGTACTTGTGTAAAAAAGCAAGTGTGGGATTGGTTATTCTGATGTGTTTGCTTGAGCATGACTCCCTGTGTCTGTGTGTGTGAGACAGAGTTAATTACATGGTACGGAGTGACAATGCATTCACCACATAAATCACATTAGACTCTTTCTAAGTGTCCCCTGAGGGAATCTCTCTTTGTGTCAGCTCTCTCTCTCTCTCTCTTTTTCTTTTCCTCCCTCCCTTTAAATCTGTAAACTAGTCACTGGCTTGTAAATAACAAAGAAAGTGACTCTTTTAATTAACCTCATTGTAATTATAAACACGTTGAGATGTAATGGCATTTCTTAGAGATGTACTTCGTTCATGGTGTTATTTATCACTGCACTGTAGATGAGTATTATTGTGGCCCATGAAACAGCATGTTGAACTGAATACTAGGGATGGCTCAGTACCACCTTTTTCATGTCTAATGCCAGTACTGCAACTTACCTGCCAGTACCGATATCAATCTGATATTTTCTTTTATCCTCCCGTTGTTGCTGAGGTGATAGTGTCCCTGTTTCCGGCATCAACGTAAGTTGAGCGTTTGGGCTTAGGTATCAGATCGGAAAAGCTATAGTTGTTAATTTTGACCAGTATCAGACTGATACCGATCCTGAGTATCAGATCAAGACATCTCCATTGAATACACCAATTTTTTTATCCTCCCGTCGTTGCTGAGGTGATAGTGCTGAGGTGATAGACATCTCCATTGAATACACCAATTTTGCACACAGTCACAACTATCAATTTGTTTTGTCGTTGTCTTTGTGTTGCTGTAGTCCGACTGTTCATTGGCTTGCTAACAGCACAAGGATACTGTAGTGACTTCTCTAGATTAGGGGACTTTAATATTGTTAAGTCCATAGACCGTCAATGAAAAGATGAAGCAGGGTTTCTAATAATGAATAATGTGAAAGAAATGTGTTTGAAAAATTATTTAAAAAAATACATATGAAATGTCTAATTCAGACGACTGAATGACGATGTGTTGTGATTGTGTTTTCAGGTGGTGAAGACTGTAGGTTTAAGAGAGATTTGGTTCTTTGGTCTGCAGTACACGGACAGTAAAGGCTACGTGACATGGCTTAAACTCAACAAAAAGGTAAGAGATGCTAGCTCTGTAACTATTTTACAGCTCGCACCGAGAAATCCTATAAACCAACCGTATTTACGCAAGAATTTTCAAAGAGTTTGTCAGAAAAGCCATGTGTGTGTTCTTCAGGTGACTCAACAGGATGTGAAAAAGGAGAATACGTTGCAGTTCAAGTTTAGAGCGAAGTTCTTTCCTGAGGATGTTTCTGAGGAGCTCATCCAGGAGATCACACAGAAGCTCTTCTTCCTGCAGGTTCGGAACAACTGCTTTGGAAACCAAGCTAAACCTGTTCAATCCTCTAGTTACTAACCAATTTGAAATACTGTATATACACGGGGTCCTCGGTTTACGCCCTTGACATAAGTATCTGAAAGGTCCGACTTAAGTAAATTTACATCACGCCCTACAGATCGAATTCTGACTTAAGTCGAGGACCTCCTGTATACCCATCCATCAAATATTTTTTCAGCTACTTTACTCTTACGTCATCGTTGTTTCTTTGGGGCACCCCCTGCAGGTTAAGGAGGCCATTTTGAACGACGACAACTACTGCCCTCCAGAGACAGCCGTACTGCTGGCCTCATACTCTGTCCAGGCCAAGTATGGAGATTATAACAAAGACATCCTTAATCCTGGATACCTGGCATCTGACCGGCTACTTCCGCAAAGGTGACGCGCTACTGTCTTAAATTATGCCACGCTAATTTATGCCTTTATTTTTACTTTTTTTTTTTTTTTCGTGTGTGACTTGTAGAGTTCTAGAGCAGCACAAGTTGACAAAGGAGCAGTGGGAGGACAGAATACAGACCTGGCACGAGGAGCACAGAAGCATGCTCAGGTAGGACCGTCATGTGTGACGTCATATGTACAGTCTATAAATCCCTATATATGTTTGACTGGTTGTGTTTATTATGCTGCAACAGTGGCATAGTTGTAGTACAATCCACCAACAACCTCAAATTATCGATGTCTGGATCATTTGTGCTAACCTGCTAGAACTTGTAAAGGTCAGAGCAAGTTAAGGCAAGTGTTTTAACTGAAATACCTGAGGGAATTTGAGGTCCAACTTCCTCATTTCATTTCCCATTGTCATTGCTATATTTTTTCACATAATGATCTCTTCCAACAAGTACACACATATCAGTAAAGTTTGAATTTCTTACACCTAAGCCTATAAAATATTGCTGTCGTGTTTCATCCTGCTGTTTTATAGATTTTCCTTGTGTCTTTGGAAGACACGTTTTCTTTGATCAGTTTGAAAATATTCCACAGTCAGAAACAGAATGTTATATCCATTGAGCTGCACACAATTTTTTGTTTATTTGTCCTCGTAAACATGCAGTTATAAAAGTCAGAGTTTAGATTCAAATGGGATCTTTCCTGTTTGTGCGTAGTGATTTTTAAACACCATAGACATTTATCAGAATAAATATTTTCAATCATGCTGCATGTTTCACAAAGCACCATTAACACACAAAAAATCTAAAATGTGGCACAAATGTTTTAGACCCGTGGTTCTCCAACTTTTTCTACTCTGTACCACCTGAGAAAACCTTGATCTCTCTGAGTACCACCATGATGACCAACATTAGAATTCCCCTGCTCGTTCCACGTTTATCTTGCAACTGATCCCATGATTCCATGCTGCCTGTGCTTACGTGAGCAACAGACTTGCACTGCAGCAAAAAAAAAACAAAACACTAAAGTGAATACATAAAAAGACCAGACGTCCTATTTCAGAATCTCACCTAACGTGAATACATAAAAAGGACAGACATCTTATTTCAGAATCTCACAAGTAGCTACACATTTTTTCGAAATGTTGCATTAATTGTGCATGGTATGTTTCAGATTTATTCAATTGAAAATGTAAATATAAAAAATATGAATTTTCCCCATGTACCACGAGTGGTACGCGTACCGCAGTTTGAGAACCACTCTTTTAGAATAAACTACATTCTGACTTGCTTTTTAGTGGTATTCTTCTGTTTGTGTAAACATTGTTATCAGAAAGGTTGCGTTTTGTCTTGTTGTGTCATTTACTATTGTTTGTTCGCCTTTGTGTGTGGGTTTAGGGAGGACGCAATGATGGAGTACTTAAAAATCGCTCAGGACCTGGAGATGTACGGTGTCAACTACTTTGAAATCAAGAACAAGAAGGGAACCGAGCTGTGGCTAGGAGTCGACGCCTTGGGACTCAATATCTACGAACATGAAGACAAGTAAAAAAATCACACAAACATTTGGATAATCATGACCAGAGAGAATGTTTTTCATTTCTTGTCCCTTCATTCTCTTACTGTTAATTTAATTTTAGCATCTCAAACTCAATTTCATTCAATTGCCAAATTATACGTCACCAAAAAGTGTTGACAGAAGCTCTGTTTGAGCCACGAAACCCAAAATTGAGAAGTGATATTAAAGAGGAAGTCGATGAAACCACCAAAGAAAGAAGTTGCTGTCATATCAAAAATGGGGCAACACCCGATCACATCCTTCCTTTCAGGAAGAGTCACCCCACTGTGGTTGAAACACACAAAACAGCAGTGACAATTGAAAGTTGTTGAAGAGCACGTGTGGATGGGGTTTTTTTTTTTAGACAGGCTGGTAATTTCAATTTGATAACTTCTGACAAATTTTGGGTTTTCCCCAAAAAGAAAATCCTTATTTTTACATGCAACCATAATTTTACCAGTAGTTTTTATTAGTGTACATTGTTATATAATAATTAATAATAATTTATTATGACATGTTATTGATGACAGTTAAACAGTAGTATAATTAGAATTATGAAACTATGAGCTCTGTTTCATATAGTTACATTAATTGACATTTTTCAACTCTCTCCATGGTCAATGACATCAGTTAAACAGCGCCCCCTTCTGGTATGTAGATAGATTACTGGTAAGCCGAACAAGTACTGTGGCATCATAATGCTGCCCTCTTGTGGCTGTGCAGCGAGTAGGCCAATGTCAAAACTTTGAAAGTTTGAAAATTTCATATATATATGTGTGTAAAGTGTCTACATACAGTACGGTAAATATATGTATGTCTTCCTTAGGTTGTCTCCGAAGATCGGCTTCCCCTGGAGCGAAATCCGAAACATCTCTTTTAGTGACAAGAAGTTTGTCATCAAACCTATTGATAAAAAAGCTCCTGTGAGTGACACGTGGTTAATTAAACACCATTTAATCTGTATCATCTCTAAGAGTCTGATATATTACTTCTCTAAATCTTCCCAGGATTTTGTTTTTTATGCTCCTCGTTTGCGCATCAACAAGCGCATCCTGGCCTTGTGTATGGGAAATCATGAGCTGTACATGAGGAGGAGGAAGCCTGACACTATTGAGGTGCAGCAGATGAAGGCTCAAGCTCGGGAGGAGAAACATCACAAACAGATGGAGAGGTACCAGCAGCTGCTGCCTGTCCCTCATCAACCACCCGTGAATACATGTGTTATCCAAAGTCTATTGCTCCAAAAACAAATTAACTACCCTGGCTTTTTATCTAATGAATCAGCAACATGGTTAAATAGAGATGCACCAAATTTGATTTAGTTTTGAATTATTTTTGGTTAAGTGAGACTTGCAGATACTGATTTCCACCAATTAACCACATATAGAAAAAGTGTTATGGGCAAAATGTTATTCCCATAACAAATCATTATGAAACAAAAGTGTTATTCCCATAACAAATCATTATGAAACATTTTCCACTAACGGTTCTTGTTCTTAAAACATTTCTTCACCATACTCTTATGAACCATATTTTGTAGGTTTTTTAATCCCTCAAATACTTTTTTTTTCATTGAAACTGGAAACGAATACTCCATGAAATAAGGTTTGGAATGTGACCAATCAAAGCAAAGGGTGACTGACTACGGTTACTGTTTTCGTGACAACAGGGCGCAGCTGGAGAACGAGAAGAAAAGGCGAGAGCACGCTGAGAAAGAAAAGGAGCGAATAGAGCGAGAGAAGGATGAGCTGATGCAGAGGCTGAGGCAGATTGAGGAGCAGACGCAAAGAGCACAGAAAGGTACGGTCATCACATCTGTAAATGACCAGCCTCTCATGTCACAGTGACGGATCAATTTGAGCCAGTCCAGGTGTGACATGCTGGTGTGTGACATGAGTTTTTTCATCAAGTTTTTTCACACGTGTGTGTGCCTGTTTTGCAGAGCTAGAGGAACAGACTCGCAAAGCTCTGGAGTTAGAGCAGGAGAGGAAGCGAGCAAAGGAGGAGGCGGAGCGTTTGGAGAAGGAGAGGCAGACAGCAGAAGAGGCCAAAGCTCTGCTGGCTCAACAGGCTGCAGACCAGATGAAGAACCATGAACAGCTGGTACCTGCAATCACTCCTGAACCAACAAACAGTTTTCATTCTTAATACCCTCGATAAAGGGTCTCATAGATACTAAGTCAGCAGCTGAAAACAGGCAAAGGTTCTTTGTAAGGGTCTCATAGATACTAAGTCAACAGCTGAAAACAGGCAAAGGTTCTTTGTTGTTTGACACGGTTCACTTTACATACGTTTGTGTTTTCACCAGGCTGCTGAATTAGCAGAGTTCACCGCCAAAATCGCTCTACTGGAGGACGCAAAGAGAAAAAAGGAAGAAGAAGCAACAGAATGGCAACACAAAGTACGACACAGAACGTCAATCTCTGCAAATGTTTACATTTATCAAGGGTTATAGTAATAGTTCAAAGTTTTGATGTCAGGCTTTCACACTTTAAAATATGTTTTTTTCCGGGTGTTTAAAGGTGTTTTAAAAAAGGCTGTAAGTTATAGCTTTGTTTGTCCAGGCCATTTCAGCACAGGAGGACCTGGAGAAGACCAAAGAGGAGCTAAAGACGGCCATGACGTCTCCGCCGGCGCCAGAACACGACGAGCACGACGAGACAAACGCAGAGGCGAGCGCCGAGCTGCACAGTGACGGCGTGACCAGGCACCGCAGCGAGGAGGAGAGAGTCACCGAGGCCCAAAAGAACGAACGTGTCAAGAAGCAGCTGCAGGTGGAGTAGAGCTGAATTATTCATTTACCATAACTATATTTATAGGATGGTTGATGAAGGTTGACAGTCAAGAGAGGCCTGTCTGACTAAGTTTAGACCACCACCTCTCTTTACCTCTCTATATTTCTGTCCTGATCCAGGCCTTGAGTTCAGATTTGGCTGAAGCCCGAGACGACACCAAGAAAACACAGAACGACATGCTGCACGCCGAGAACGTCAGAGCAGGAAGAGACAAGTACAAAACCCTTCGTCAGATCCGACAGGGAAACACCAAACAGCGCATCGACGAGTTTGAGTCCATGTAAAGTGTAGATTCTGTCAGTGCAACGAATCCCTTGAATTTCTGCCACCAGGGGGCGAACTCATCCTGGAGAAAGACCAGCTTCTTCGCTTCAGCATCGCCAAAGCTCTGCTGCTGAACAGCGGTCAGCCAATCACACCGCTACCTGCATTCTAGAGCTCCGCCCCTTTGCCCCCTACCCCTTTTAATGAGTTCGAAAAATAACCAGCAGTGTTTGCTGTCAAACATGGACGCCTCCCTTTTACAGTACTGACAATTTAACGCTTGCACGTAATGACAAGGACAGAATTGGTTTATCAGACGGCCATCGTAGCCTCCTGACGTCGCTGGCACAACGTGTCCATTAAGCTTTAATATCTGTACCTAACTTTTACTTTCCACATCTTACCTAAGGTGAACAATTTAAAGATTTTGTTCCATTTCAGGATAAAAAGAGAAAAGAATAATAACGCCTTATTTGTCTTAATTCGTCTAGAGTTCTTTTAATTCTCACATTTGAACATGGAGAGTAGCGAAGACTCACACAGACTAAATTTGTTTTTAACGCCAACCTTTGCTTAGCCGCTTTTTGACGGAAAAATCTACATTTCCACCCCAAAAGATAGATCATCAGGATGCTTTTCTGTAATTAAATTGCTGATTTGGACCGGAACAACAACTTTTCAAGAATAACGGAGAGACACTAGAAAGCATTAGCAGCAATTGTTAGCCACCAGGGTGTATCTATACTAGCTGCTGCGTCTCACAACTATACGTTTGGCCAATTATGGACTGTAAGAATTAAAATCCACACATACCTTTACAAAACGATGAAAGTAGTGGTTATCCACCAGAGGGCGTCTTAATTTGATTTATAACATCAATAAATATTTTCATGAAGAGTTAATGGTGTCCTGCGTGTTTGACGTCTTTACCAAAGGGAATATGATGTGAGTTTTAAGTTAGTTACAATTCTTGTAACTCTAGTATTGGTACTACAATATGTATATGTATAAATATGTATAT